AACCTGATCACTTGGCTGAAACCAGTGGTGCATCCATTGTCCCTGATTCTGAACTGGAAGGATTAGCATTATGGGCTCATCAGAAAGCCAGACATCTCGGTGAAAGGCTACATAGAGACGGGGGCAAAGTCATGATATTCTTACAACACAAGATGTAATAAAAACAGTAATAGCTCACAGTCCAATACATCAGCATCTAACCAAGTGCCCCCTTCCTCAAAGATTAACTGGACAATTACAACAAGGAACATTACCTGGCCAGATATGGCAGATTGACTATATTGAACCTCTACCAGTTAGTCAGGAATGCCAGTAGGTATGTACAATAGTAGACACTTATTCTGGATATCTAGTTGGTTGTGCTTACAAACATGCAAGTCAGCAAAATATGATTAAAACTCTAGAAATTATTACTCCATATTGTGGTACTCCAGTTCATATTCAAAGTGAAAATGGATCATACTTTAAAGTTAAGTTAATTAAAACCTATGCCCAGACTAGCAATATAGAATGGATTTATTATATCCCTTATTATCTTCAAGCAGCTGGTTTAATTGAATGGATGAATGGACTTTTAAAACAACACTTATTAAAGTTAGGAATGGGAGAATATAAACAATGGAAAGATAATTTATTTGAAGCCTTGCAACAATTAAATAATAGACCTATTGGACAAAGTGAAACCCCCTTGATGAGAATGGTGAGTCCTCGTCTTAGTTTATCTGTGGCCCTCATTTCAAGATGGGATGCAACCTTAGAGTATTAGGAAATGCAAACAGGAGCTATGAAATCTTTTAAAGCCACTCCTAAAGCAGCTGGATTGGATCTATATTCTCTTGAACAGACTCATTTAAATCCCTCAGATACTAAAGTGCTTCCTACAGGAATTGGAATTAACTCCAAAACATCTTGGCTTGATTAAAAGCCATTCTAGCCTGGCCATTAAAGGTATACAAGTCTTGGGAGGAGTAATAGACAATGATTATCAAGGGGAAATTAAGGTTATTTTACAAAATGGTGGGGACCACCTGGTGTTAATTGCCGCTCCAGGTCAGATTGCACAATTATTCATTTTGCCCTACTTACATTTAGAGTTATCTATTGGAATGCCCCCTGCCTTGCAAACCCTCCAGGGAGACAAAGCATTTGGATCCTCTAATCTAACATGTCCTGGGGCTAAAATACGGTTTAAGTTACTCCATATGAATAAACCAGAACCAGCTATAGCCCAAGGCCCCAAAATGTAATTGTTGCTATGAATATGGAAATGGAAACACCTAACCATACCCCTTTACAATATTGCTATGCTCAAGAAACTTAAAATAGATATAATGTTTATCACACAAACTGGCCTAATAGATCTTTTCCTGAGAATCTTTGTCACTTGGACATGGGCCAACCCACAGGACGTCTTCCTCTCTTGGGCCTGCTTCTATGCAAACTTCCAGAGCCAGTCATACTGTTGGGCCTGTGGAGCTCTACCACTATCCTCCACTCATGGACTGCCTTGGTGGGTGTCACCCTTAAATGGACCTGACTTTCAAGAAGTATGTCATTTTATTCAAGAAAATAAAAATCAAACCAGAAGTTTAAATGTCCTTAATATACTTGTTAACTTGGTGTAATAATACTGATGGATTAGGACACAATTTGCATTTTGATTATGATCAAGCAAAAAGAGCTGCCTGTGACTATTATATGAAAGAAAGAACCAATGCTAGCCATGCCCATAGGGAAACCAAAGCTACACGACATGGTACCCTACAAATATGCCAAATGTGGGACCAATATAAGTAACTTCAGAAAAGGGCCAATTGATAAAGGAAGCCCCCATTTTTTGGGAACAAAATAATCATACCAAACTGTATCCTAAATAGTACTAAATCTCTAGCATTCCTGCCAACATCTTGTGTAACATCTTGATTACATTTGTGTAATCAAACAGTAACAGTGAATCACATGAATTCATCAGATTCAGTCATATGGCCAAGAACTGATTGGATAAACAACCTGGGCATATGATTTTAGTCCCAAATGGAACTCATTGGATATGTGGGGTTAATCTTTGGCTCTGGTTACCCACAGGATAGACTGGAAGATGTACCCTGGGACTGTCATTTGCATGTGGTCAAATTTTAAATGAACTACCACACACCCCGGCCAATTTCCCTATAGCACAGGCAAGATAGACACGATCTGTGTTCCAATGGTATGGGTGCTTAGCTGCAATATTTGTGTCATCACTTGGCACCATTGACATAATGCTCATAGTAGAAGCCTTGACTAATTGTACAAAACAAGCTTTAATTCACAAAGCCATACTTCAGAATAGAATGGCATTAGATACTGAAAGGTTGTTGCTGAACGATAAGATGCAGGATTCTTGGCCTCCGGAGGAGACGAATTCAATCCAGGGCCAGAGACGAGGCTGGATCACTCAGAGCTTTTGTGTAATAAAGTTTTATTAAAGTATAAAGGAGATAGAGAAAGCTTCTGACATAGGCATCAGAAGGGGGCAAAAGAGTACCCGCCTCCTAGTCTTTAGCTGTAAGTTATATAGTCACTCACAGTCTGTTAATGAAAAGAATGTCTTAGAATTTAGAATGGCAACAGATAATTCATCCCTGGCCATAAAACGATTGACTTGAATCTTGTATAAGGGCAGATTACCAACAAATAGTTTCCTTTACATAGATTAGGGAAACAATATCTGAGTAAGTAGGTTAGGCCGTTTGGTGGAACCAACTTGAAGCTAGAGTCTGGGGTACATTAACATAGCTTAAGACAACATTTCCATAAGAAAAAGAAATGTATTGGTTAACTCAAGGTTTGAGAGTAGTTAGTTTCAGGTGAGACCAGGTGTCATAGCAACACAGCATTTTAAGAGAAACCTCCTTTTAAATTTGTATAGAGAAGGAAAAACATATCACTGGTTTGTTTCCTCCTGCTGCTTGAGAGAAAAAAGTCTGGCACTTGCAGCCTATTTCCTCTGTTTGGAGACCCCTAGCCTTCCTGCCTGTTACCCTCTCAATACATTAACAGCAGCGCGGTAAACTTGTGTCATAACTCACACAGAATGTGGTGTGTTCATCCCTGATCATAGTGCTAATATGTCAAATTATCTTCAACATATGAAGGGAGTGATCAATAAGTTAAACAACCCTAAAGTATCTATATGGGACTCTTTGCTCTCTTGGTTTTCCTCACCTTCACATTGGATAATGCATGCTTTGGTTTTTCTAATCATACTTACCATCTTGTGAATTGTATGTTAGTGTGCTACGCAATGTTTATCAAGTCACGTGCACCGTTAATGTTAATGCTTATGGTTATTATAATACTTGACTCCCTCGTGACGTGTAACGTGAGGGTCAAAATGTAGTGCAATGGCTAATATTTTCATGTTACTGTACCATACATCACCGTTTTGATGACACATGCACCTGATGTACTGTGTTCATTGCTTGTACCCAAACAACATGTGTACTTAGACATTATTTGTACTTAAATAACATATGTACTTAAACATCATGAAGAATGGGAGCATCATGAAAACATCCACCAAGAAAGGGGAAAAATATCAACAGTACATAAAGATCAGGAACAGTAGGGTTTGGGGGATACTGTTTTTCTCCTTTGATCTGGACAATCAAGGGGCCAATCAAGTTTTTTTCCATTTCTCTAATGCGCAAACTCTTTGAACTCCTTTGAGAACAAAGAACTTCGTAAGTTATAAAATGGCACACACCCAGACTCACAGCGAGGTCCCCTCCATGCATGGATGCACATAGTGGATGATGCCCCCACTGGGACTCTGGTGCACTGACCACGGCAACTGCCCAACTGCTGTGAGCCTGATGAAGGTGCTTTCCCCTGGGCGGGTGAGATTCATTTGCTAAGTGCTATTGATGAAAGTGAAAGAGGAGACTGAAAAAGTTGGGTTAAAGCTTAACATTCAGAAAACTAAGATCATGGCATCTGGTCCCATCATCTCATGGGAAATAGATGGGGAGACAGTGGAAACAGTGTCAGACTTTATTTTTGGGGGCTCCAAAATCACTGCAGATGCTGACTGCAGCCATGAAATTAAAAGACTCTTACTCCTTAGAAGGAAAGTTATGACCAACCTAGATAGCATATTAAAAAGCAGAGACATTACTTTGCCAACAAAGGTCCATCTGGTCAAGGCTATGGTTTTTCCAGTGGTCATGTATGAATGTGAGAGTTGGACTGTGAAGAAAGCTGAGTGCTGAAAAATTGATGCTTTTGAACTATGGTGTTGAAGACTCTTGAGAGTCCCTTGGACTGCAAGGAGATCCAACCAGTCCATCCTAAAGGAGATCAGTCCTGGATATTCATTGGAAGGACTGATGCTGAAGCTGAAACTCCAATATTTTGGCCACCTCATGCGAAGAGTTGACTCATTGGAAAAGACCCTGATGCTGGGAAAGATTGAGGGTAGGAGGAGAAGGGGATGACAGAGGATGAGATGGCTGGATAGCATCACTGACTAGATGGGCATGAGTTTGAGTAAACTCCGGGAGTTGGTGATAGACAGGGAGGCCTGGCGTGCTGCGATTCATGGGGTCGCAGAGTCGGACACGATTGAGTGACTGAACTGGACTGAACTGAACTGATTGTAAATTCACTTCTTTCCTTTCACTTTGATCCTTGATTTGTACTAGGCTCAAAACATAATAAATTGGTTTTTGTTACCAACCTGTGGACTACATCTGGAATTCTTTAAAAGAATCACTGAAGCAAAACAAAACACATTTGATGAAGTAGCTGCGATGGTCACACCACTTTTGAGGCTGAGCTGAGTTCACAGACACGTTGTTAGTTGCTAGCCTCACCTTCTCCTTTACTCCTGATGGTATAGAAAATAAAAAAGAAATAAAAGAAAGGCAACAGATAACGTATTAGAGGGATTCCAAAAGCCTTGGACTTATATCGCGGACTTCCTAAACCTTCCTGGGTGTTCCGTTTCTTTATTGCAGGCAATGGCGGAATCGTAAGCTGGTTACAAAAGTATTATTGCAAAATAAGAAGCGGCCAGTGTACTCTGATTGACTGCCTTCCAAAGGAGGAACAGATAGGACACTGTTCCCTGAGTGGCCGAAAATGCTGCCTGAAAAAGAAATGAAAATTCCAGAAACATGAGGAGAATGTTGCGAATAGTGTGAAAATGCCTCCTTGAAGACTCCAGAAGCCAAATCAAACATTTTTTTTTTTTACAAAAACTTAGAAGTTTGATTATTATTATTACTTTTTAACATTCTGTTTATTGTGCTGGTTGTTACCAAACAGGCAACTTAGAAAGTGTTAATGACTCACCTTTAATTCAAATCAAGTATAATCCCTAGAGGAAGCTATAAGAGGGTCTCAGCTGGTGTTCCAAAGGTTGTCAGATTCTATTCCTCTTTCACAACTTTCACCCCACAATGAGGTTGGACCACTTGTTCTTTCTGAATCACTTCCTTAGCCTTCTGTCACCCATCTGAGCTGTGCAGTCTGTCCATCTGTCATGGCATCTCCCCAGCAAATCCATCTCTGAACCTTCACGGCTTCCCTGAGGGTCTCCCAGGTCCTCTGAGCACTTTCCAGCTCAGAGACACGGGGACCTGGCTCCTCCTCCACCTTGCCTTCAGCTTTCCTCTCACTCTTGCCTCTGTTCTGACTGACCTCAGGCCTGGATAAAATCTCTCCTCCAGCTATGTCTCCAAACCCATCTCTCAGGGGCACCTCAAATTCTACCTCCTTCTTAAAAACACAGCTGGTTTCCCCAACAAATATGATGTTTCCTTTTAAAAGGGTTCTGACCTAGGTACTCCATCTATGAGCCTTACTTGATTTTTGCATTCACTACATTTGTATATTTCCATTCTCCACATGTGGTTGCAGGATTTTGTAGGGCACTTCATCATTTCATCACTTCTGGCCTAAGCATCTTGACACAAAAGCTGCTCTGCAAGTACTTAGTGAGTTGAAGAACATTCCAAGGCCTTGGAAGTGTTGCACTGTAACTATTTAGTGGTGTCTTGCGGTTGACACAGAAAGATTCCAGCAAATGGAGTGGCAGGCCCATCACCCCCTACTCATGCCCCTAGTCACTAGCTTCTCAGGAAGAAGGGCACACACTCAAAGACAAGAGTTTGGACCCCACAATTCAGCATTAAAAAAAAAAGACATGATGGGACTCTATCCTGCCCTTCTACAGTACATAACTAAGGAACCAGGCAAAACCTGTGAAACCACTGATTCAGACTCTGGCACAAACAATGCAGGACCGTAATTGAGGAGAGCAGAAAACAGGTGAGGTGAGGGACTTCCCCGGAGGTTTGGGGCTGGGATTCTTTGCTCCCAACCCAGGGGGCCTGGGTCCACCCCTTTTCTGGGAACTAGATCCCACATGCTACAACTAGATTCTGCCTGCCTTGATTAAGGTCCAAGGCAGCCAAATTAATGAATTAGCTAATTAAATTGTAAAAATATCTGTGCTCAACCATTTAAAAAAAAGAAAATAAAACAAGTGAAGTGAGGCTTATGGCATCTCCAGCCTCTACAGATTTCCAGGCCTAAAGCAGAGGGAACAAGAACCCAAACAGGCCAACAATTCTCCTGAGTCGAAGAGAGTGGGGTCAAAGTTCAGAGAGTGCAGACATCTTCACTTCTGGACAGAAAACCAGCAATGGGCGTCAGGATCAGGGCTGTGTGCCTGTGTGCTAAGTTGCTTCAGTTGTGTCGGACTCTTTGCCACTCTGTGGACTGTGGAGTTGCTGAAAGCATATGGGAAAATTCTGTGCCTTTCATTCAATTCTAACACTGCTCTGAAAAATGAAGTCTAAGATACCAGATGGAATTTTGGTTCAGCATGATGGGATAAAGTGTGATGCTAAGATTTGAGACATTATCTTAAGGAAAGAGATGATCATTTCAGCAAAAAAAAAAAACCACAAAAACAAGAATCAGATATAAATGAGCTATAAAAAACCCACTTGAGATATCAATATAAAGGCAAATGGATTTAAAATGAAAGGATGGAAACAGATATGCTGTTGTCATTGTTTAGACACTCAGTCATGTCCAACACTCTTGTGACCCCTATGGAATCATCCAAGCAAGATTACTGCAGTGGGTTGCCATGCCCTCCTCTGCGGAATCTCCCCGACCTAGGAATCAAAACCATGTCTCTGCATCTCCTGCATCTCAGGCAGATTCTTCACTGTTGAGACTACAGATATGCTGTGGAAACATTAATTTAAAGAAAACATAGGAGGCTGTATTGGTTAATTGACAGGCTTCCTGGTGGCTCAGATAGTAAAGAATCTGCCTGTAATGCAGGAGACCTGGGATCGATTCCTGGTTTGGGAAGATGCCCTGGAGGAGGGCATGGCAACCCACTCCAGTGTTCTTGCCTGGAGAATCCCCATGGACAGAGGAGCCTGGCAGGCTACAGTCTATGGGGTCACGAAGGGTCAGACACGACTGAGTGACTAAGCATGGCACACAATCAGGTAACTTTTAGAACGGGACCAGATATAGAGAGGGGTATTCACCCTAATGATAAAATGTTTAATTCATCAAGAATACATATGATTACTGAATCAGAATGTACTTAGCAAAAGAATTTTAAATTTCTTAAAGAAAACTTATACGAATAAGTGGAGAAACAGACAAATTAACAATTAAAAAGGAATTTCCCAGTTAATCCAGTGGTTAAGATTCCAAGCTTTCAATGCCGGGGGCACAGGTTGGATTCCTGGTTGAGCAAATAAGATCTCTTATACCATATAGAAAATTCAATCCAAGATACATTAAAGGTTTACACATAAGTCCTGAAACCACAAAATTCCTAAAAGAAAGCATAGGGGAAAAGTTCATTGGGATGGGCCTCCACAAGGATGGTTTTGAGCTTGACACCAAAAGCACAAGCCACAAAATCAAAGCTAGATAGTAGGATCCATCAAACTGAAAAGCTTCTACACAGCAAAGGAAACAATGAACAACCTGAAAAGACAGGGTTCTTTTAACGCTCCAGGGATCTCTGAGGCTAGAGGAGATGGCAGCAGTGCTGCGGGCAAGAGAGTGGGATGAGAGAGGATGGTCACATCCCAGGTCATGTCCGAGTCCCTGGGATGGCCACCAGGTGTGGGTACTTGACTTCACATAGGCAGGAATTCAAGAGCGAGTCACAGTGAAGTGAAAGAAGGTCAATCCAGGGAGGAAACACTCTATACAGAGAGCGTTGGCCATCCTGGAAGGCAAGCGCAGCACCAGGGTATGGGGCTGTCAGTGTTTGGGGTGGGGGGGGTCATTTCATAGGCTGATGAGTGGGAGGAGTGTGCCAGCTATTTTGCGGAAAGGGTGGGGATTTCCAGGAACTGGGTCAGCACCCACTTTTTGACATTTATGACCAGCCGTGGAACTGTCACGGCGCCTCTGGGTGTGTCACCTAGCTGCTGTGTCACAAAAGAATTAAAAAAAAATATTTACCTCAGTTCTTAGTTGCGGTGTGCAGGATATTCATCTCAGCACACTGGCTTACTTGTCCCACGGCAAGTAGAGAAGGAAATGGCAACCCACTCCAGTATTCTTGCCTGGAAAATGCCATGGACGGAGAAGCCTGGTGGGCCAAGGTCCATGGGGTCGCAAAGAGTTGGACACGACTGAGCGACCTCTTTTTCTTTCTTTCACGTGGAATCCTAGTTCCCAGGCTAGGGACTGAACCCACATTCCCTGTGTTGCAAGGCAGATTCTGAACAACTGGACCAGCAGGGAAGTCCCTGTCATTCTTTTAGAGGTTGTGCCCCGCCCACTTCCGGTCTCATCAGCACCTGATAGCTGGCAGCGCTATGCGAGCTTTTGCATTACAGGAGAATGTCCTGGGAAGTTCTCAGGACGCTGTGCTGACTGCAGGCAGCAGGCAGGACCCTGTGAAGAGAAGCTGATTTTGCTCCAAGTTACACGACTGCCACTTAGCATGCTGAGGCCTTGGACACACCTTTTTGTTGGATTTGCAGCCAATTTTAATTGACTTTTTAAGTCAGTTTTGCCTGTGGCCTCACACATGGCTTTCTAGTCCTCAGGACAATCATGTATAAAACTTGGGTCATAGCTACATGGCGGGTTTGTTTAGGGGAACTCAAAGAGATAATGTGAATACAAGTGGCCAGCTACTGAGCAAGGCTCATTGCAAAATATAAGTGTGGGACAAGCTCAAAGAAAAAACTACTCAAAGTGTCAGTGGGGGAGCACAACATTAGACCCAGCCTGGTCCCCTTCTGAGGACAGGTCCCTGCGTGACCGTCAGAAGCCATGGTGCCCGCCCCGTCCACAGGAGAAGGGAACTGGGAACAACGGCCTCTGTCCATTAACACCCAGGGCTCCGTGCTGAGAACACCTGTGTTTGTGGAGTCATAGATGGGAAGGGCTTTGCTCTTCAAAACCTTATCTGTAGGACTGGGGCACCCCTTCTTGCCTGAGGGACTGAGGCGCTTTGCTAGAAAGACCCTGCCTCAATTTCCTACTCACAGGTTAAAGGTTTGGGGACACAGCATTTATCTTCCCTTTAAGGAATGAGACCCTGAGTTACCTCTCAGCTCAGGCATGAAGCAACCACGATCTACATGGCCTTGTTTGGCTTTGAACCTGTGAAAACTAATAATCCATTTAGACTTTACCTACAATGAACCCTTCCCTCTATCCTATGTTAACTCATCTCTGGTTTCTGGTGAGCCACCCCATGGTTTCTTGGGTGTGTGACCTCCTAGCTGAAGGAACAGGACCCTTCCCTGATGAACAGAGATGCCCCTGGGCGTTAGCTCCAGGATTAACATAGCTGCAAAGGAGTCATCTTTATACCTTGCCTAGGAAAAATAAGTCGCTGCAATTGCAGAATTCCTGACAAGGGCCGTGTCCCACTGGTGAGGAACAATGGCAAGAGACTCCCTTGAAACTCACCATGGAACCCTGAGCAGTCTTTTGGAAACTCCCTTCTATGAAAAGTCATGCCTGGTCTTGCACATAAAACTGCATCATCAGCTTTCTTAAAAGAAAAAAAAAAAAAAACCTCTGTGTGCTGCAAACCATAGATCTTTCAAACACACAAATTTTTATTTTATTTCTTTATTTAGGCTGCACCAGGTCGTAGTTGTGGCATGTGGGATCTAGTTCCCTGACCTGCTATACTTGGGAGTACAGAGTCTTATCCACTGGACCATCAAGGAAGTCCTGTAAAAAACAGCATTTTTTAAAATCACTTTTTAAAAAAAACTTTCAGTTGGACTATAGCTGATTAATAATGTTGTGATAGTTTCAGGTGGACAGCAAAGAAACTCAGCCATGCATATGCATGTATCCATTCTCCTCCAAACAGCCTTCCCATCCAACAACAAAAAAATCTGTTCCCATTAAGCAGAGTTCCCTGAAAAGCAGCATTTTTGATGAAGAGACACAATAGACAATGATTCAGTCTCACTTCTTTCTATAGTGTAGTACTATAGCATGTATCTAAATTGACCCTGTAGTATAGATTTTTCCTGCAAGGTCCATAAATAAACAGATACATATATGTATTATGTACAGATAATTATATATATATATATAAGTAGATGATGTCTACCTTTCTCAAATATCATTTAGAGCTAAAGCAGAAGGAATCATGATCAAGACAACTTATTTTCCATCAAAAAATTCCTATCCCTGAGTGCCAGCCAGGGACTCTGTCTGTTTGAGACAGCCTCCATGGCTTTGCCGAGCCTCAGATGTCAGACGCTAAGCCACAGCGGGGGACCTGAACAGGACTGAAGCTCTGGGGGCTCCTTCAGGACGGGGTCCCCCTAGGGTACCCTCTTTTCTAAAAGGCTTGGAGTTCTACTCAGCTGCATGGCAAGCTCCATCCTGAGCTTTAACTTTTCTGAAAAGCCAGGTCAGTGTCTCCCCAGCACTGAGATGGATGGATGTTATTAAGTGAGGACTGTTACTTAGTGATGGAGGTCCCCCTTAACCCAGTGAAGGGGTCCCCACTGCTGGGCCTTTGTGATACTAGGCTGGGGAGATGCGTTCAATGGCGGTATCATCCTCCCACTCTGTCTCTGGTGAAAGGAAACGGAGCACCCATTTGCCCATCACGGGTCCCACTGAGATTTTATGAGACTGGCGAGTGATTGTGTTGAAGTGAATTAAGAAAAGTTTTCTTCCCTCTTTCTTTTTTCCCTTTTGTGTCTTTCTCCACTTTAACTGTTCCTAACCTACAGACTGCACTGATAAGTTTCTTCTTATCAGAAGACTAACCGATTATGCAAACTACATCTGGCACCTATGGCCCTCCATTTCTGCAGAAGCCACATGCTGCATCTGTTATCCTTTAATGTAGTCTAGCCACATCCTTATACTTAACTTTATTGCATCATTAAACTCCCCTTGTAGTTTGTTACCTCTCTTTGCTCTGTGTTACCTCATGTTGATGCTTAACTTTACGGTACACTCTCTTTGGAAGCCACCCCCTAGTGGTTTGCTTTCCCCCTTCTATATTACAGGAAGAAAGTCACCAGGAAATCCCCAAAGGACAATGGACCCAACCACCAGGACCAACTGCCAGACCCAAATATCTAGCTACGCAACACTTGCCTACTGACTGTTTCCAAACAGTGCAAAAAGAGAGGATTCACGATCCCTACACCTTTTGTTGTGTATCTCCAACCCCTGACTCTGAGCCCCAGCTGTATGATCCCCTGGATTCCCAATGGAGAGGAGACAGGATCCTTGAGGCAAGAGCCTACTGTGTTCTCCCTTCTGCCAGCTTAAAGGTTAAAGCCATCTTTCCATTTGCTCCAAACTCTGTCTCCACAAGTTTTATTCAGCTCCAGTGGGCAGAGAAACCAAGATTTTGGCAGCGACTATTGCTGCCAACCCATAATGGGCTAGCTGGTGTGGGGAGCGGGTCGGGACCACTGGGTCTCTTCCTTCAGCGCCCTATGGGTCAGAAAGAGCATGGCTGTCTCTGCGGATACTGGAGTCAGCAAGTCTTGTCCAGGGAAGAAACTGCCTCTGAATGAGTTAGTCTCCAGTTTACCCTGAAACAGCCTCTCAGGGCAACAGTGGGCAGACTCAAAGCCCTGGAGGGGTGAGGGTGGGGCTGGGGAGTGGGTAAGCCAAGGTTGAGCAAGAAGTCTGTGCCCCTGCCAGGGGAGACAGGCCCCTGGGCCTTGCCACACCCATACCCACCAGCTGAACTGACTGCCAGGGAGAAGCATCTGGTCAAAAGGGCAGCAGGAAAGCTTTTTCTGGGGTTTTCCATAGCCTCATTAGCATAAGAGTGACTGATCCTGCTTTGTGTTATAAAGGCCACTCCCAGGACACACAGAAAGAGACTCAGTTAACCAGTTCATAAGAACCAAATCCACAGCCAGCGCGGAATTCCTCCCGGAACCTGGGACCTTTATAAAGCGGCAAGCGCAGCCTCTTCTCCAGTGTCAGCCACAGAGCTCCGGCCACCAGCATGAGGCTCCATCACCTGCTGCTCGCGCTCCTCTTCGTGGTCCTGTCTGCTGCGTCCGGTGAGCTCGTGGGAGCCCCGGTGGGAGCCCCGGGCTCTCTCTCCTGTTTCTACCCCCTTCTGTCCTGCTACCCTCATCTACACGTGCTCAGACTAAACCCACCGTATGTGATGCTTCTGAGAAGCCAGCGCTGAGTCCTTGGTAGCAGGAGGGGTCTGAGAACCGCCCTGCAAAGTTCCTGGCTGTTTCTAAGCCACTCTAGTGAGTCAAAGCTTCTGAGCCCATCTCCTCATTGGTTTCATGAGGAGGAAACAGAAGATTCCTCTGTTAAGTAACTCTCCTTTTTTCTTTTTCATAAAAGCAAGAAATATGATTTTGTCCCATGACAGAAGCGCAGAATGTCGCTTTATAACGCAGAATGTCGCTTTATAAATCTTTCTACTTGAAGGGTGGTGGCTCTGGGCAAGCAGAGAAGTCCAGAGGAGAGTCAGGCCGAGCCTGGGCTCCGGGAGCTGCTCTTCGGACGCTCGGCGCTGACTCTCCTCAGCAGGAACGTCTTCCAGGATACGTCGCTGACGATGTGACGCCCGGTCCACAGCTGGGAGGCAGCACATCCAAGGCAATGTGCAGGATAGGATGTCTAATTTTCATCTTACCCTTGATATTTCCAGAAATAGGAGGAAAATATGTAGGAAGAGAGGAAGGAGGGAGGGAGGGAGAGAGAGGATGCGGAGACTGAGACCTGACACCTGATAAGATGTCAAAATGAAGTTGAGAAGCCCTTGTCTATCAGTGTTGTTTATGACTGTAACCCAACTCTTAGCGCAGTGGCGGGGAGAGAGGACAGGGGTGTAAGGATGATGGCCTCGCAGTTTCCAAGGCCCAAGTTCAAACCCTGGGGGTGGTGGTGGATAACTAGAGAGAGACCAGAGGTGACTTGTGGTCAAGAGGAAAAAGGTGTGTGAGGAACACGGAAAGGCAGCTGGTCAAGAGGAAACAAGAAAGGGAGAAGGAGAGCATGTGAGGAAAGCGGGAAGGCCATTGGTCAAGAGGAAACCAGAAAGGAATGAGGAGAGCATATGAGGAAAGCGGCAAGGCTGCTGGTCGGGAGGAAACCACAAAGTGATGAGGAGAGCCTGTGAGGAAAGCGGGAAGGCCGTTGGTCGAGAGGAAACCACAGAGGGATGAGGAGAGCCTGTGAGGAAAGCTGGAAGGCCACTGGTTGGGAGGAAACCACAAAGGGATGAGGAGAGCATATGAGGAAAGTTGGAAGGCCGCTGGTCAGGAGAAAACCACAAAGGGAGGAGGAGAGGGGCTGACTCGCCCCAGCGCTGAGAGCTCTGAGGCAGTAGAGACAATGATACAGAACTTTTTTCCTGAATAACTGTCACTGTCAGTTGGAAGTTACCTTTGAGAGGAAGTTCTCTTTAAACACTTCTTACACTGTCAGCTGCATCTTTTCCTCCTATCTCAGCTCCACTACTTGACTGACTCCTTGAGGTAGAAAACTAGACAGTGAAAATAGACGCCCGCGGGCCTCTTCTGACTCCTGGCCGGAAGGTGGATGTAGCAGAGCTTCCAGGTCTTTGCCCTCGTGGTGGAGCTGACCCTACACACAACCGTGCTCCTCACGCCCCAGTCCCTCAGCCTCTGCTTCTGGAAACGTGAGGGTCCACCGGGGCCGGGGCAGGGCCAGCGTCTGTCTGGAAGCTGGTCCATGGTGTCCTGAGCTCACATCCTGTTGTCACGAGGCCGTGTCCGCATCTCAACACAGAAAGCCCCAGGGCCTCGCTCAGAGGGCACACAGCTGCCCTTCCCAAGATGCCGCTTTTCCTGCTGACACGTTTTTTCCCTCTTCATTCTCTTTTTAGGATTTACTCAAGGAGTAAAAACTCCTCAAAGCTG